AGGAAGGGCAGGAAGACACAGGGGTGCAGAGGCAGCCCTGGGAACCCAGCAGTCTGTGCCCCTGCTGCCCTCCCCCTGCACACCTCACCTCTCCCTGCTGGCCACAGCCCTCATGGATGTCACCTCCTGTCAGCCTCACCACTGTGCTAGTGTGTACAGGCACACCAGGGCAACCCCTCAGCGTTTCTCTAACTCAGGACATCCAGCTCAGCTTCACTTGGTCTCCTGTCTTTTATTATTTAAGATTTATTCATGTATTTGAAAGGCAGAGTGGGAGATAAAGACAGAGATTACTCATCTACTGGTTCACTCCTCACATGATCACAATAACTAGGGTTGGGTCACATGGAAACCAGGAATCCAGGTCTCCCACATGGGTGGCAGGGGTTCAGGCAGTTGGGCCATCTTCTGCTGACTTCCCAGACACATCAGCCAGAAACTGGATGGAAAGTGGAGAAGCTAGAACTCAAATTGGTTCTCCCATACAGGATGCCAGTGTTATAAGAGGCAGCTTAACTCGCCCAGCCACAACCCTGATCCCTTGTTTTCCCTCTTAGCTGCCTCAAACCCTCGGCATTCCCTGGCTGGGATTTTTCTCCCAGAGAAATGATCTGCTTTTCCCAAGTCATGGCTCTTTCACACCAGCACCAAGAGGAGTCCCTTTCTCACTAGCCTTGTTCTGGTCACCTGTCAGCTCTGTGGGTGAGGGAGCATCATGGCCAAACATATGACCTACAGGAACAGACAGATGTTATAGACACTCAGCCCCTGCAGGAGGCCCAAGCAAGGCTGAGCAACACAGGGTCAGCCTCGGGAAGCAGGTACTATGGTAAGAATAGGACAAGGTAGGGTCCGGCAGCATGGCCTAGCAGCTAAAGTCCTCACATTGAATATGCCGGGATCCCATATGGGTGCCGGTTTTATTCCCGGCAGCTCCACTTCCCATCCAGCTCCCTGCTTGTGGCCTGGGAAAGCAGTCGAGGACAGCCTAAAGCCTTGGAACCCTGTACTCACATGGTAGACCTGGAGGAAGTTCCTGGCTCCTGGCTTTGGATCAGCACAGCACCGGCTGTTGCAGTCATTTGGGGAGTGAATCATCAGACAGAAGATCTCTCCTCTCTGTATATATCTGATTATGTAACAAAAATAAATAAATCTTTAAAAAAAAAAAAAAAGAAGAAGAGGACAAGGTGGCCAGTAGCTGCTGGAGTAGCTTCCCAGGCTGCCAGGGAGATGAAACCTGTGACATTTAAAACTGAGCAAAGAGCAGCCAGGATCGAGTTGGGAAGGAATAGCTGGATGGATCTGGGGAGAGAAGGGAACTCATGTTACATCTTTGTGGCCCAGGAGCTTCAGAGATGTGGTTGTAGCACATGATATTTCAGGCCTTACAGAACAAGCCTACCTGAGCCCTCACTGCTGGGCCCTGGGGACTTACAATGGGGCACTGCCCATCTCAGATATGGAAGGAGAGTGCCCTCTGCCCTGGGGTGCTGGGCAGGGCCTACCCCTGTTTCTCTCTGCTCCCTTTCTGTTGCAGGGGTCCCTCCTTAGAGCCCTGGCTCAGCTCCTGAACGTGCGATTTGGACTTATTACCAAGGATGGACATGGCTGGGGGGTTGCCCAGGGCCTGCCCGAGAGGGAGAATCATTCATGACAATGGCCTTCTGGATCTTGCTCTTCTAGAGCCCAACTTAAGCTGTTCTTATGCTGTGGCATTTCCAAGGCCCACCCTTCCCTCCTCCTTGTCAACTCCGACCCTCCACCTGCTTCCTGAGGATGCCCCAGAACTTCATGTCTAGGAAACTGCACTGCCTTCCCCCATGCATTCACCTGTGAGTGCGAATGAAATGAGAAAGCACACAAAGAGGCTTGGCCTAGGCAGCATTTTATCCTAAAGAAGGACTGGAGTGAATTCTAGAAGGTATCAAAACGATGCTGCCTTGCATGGGCCACAGGAAATGTGGAGGCAAAGGCGTGGCGTGCCCAAACTGGCAAGGAAGAGGGGCTGGGCCAGGGAGAATGGGTGGAAGGCAGGCAACAGAGTTCATTGAGTGAGTGGTGGGGAGAGGTGCAAGGGCTGGCCCAGCACCGCTGGAAACTCGTGTCCTTGTCACCAGCCCTGAGCCAGATTAGTGCATCCCCAGGGAAGAAAAAGTTCAGCTTTTGAAGGATTCAGATGGAGAGGCTCATAGCAGCATGTCAGGGCCAAGGTCACCAAGTACAGCCCACTCTCTGCCAGCAACACTCCCAAGCAGCAGTGGAAGTGGCTGGGATCAGTCCCAGTACGACTCAGCTTTCATGCAAAGATGAGAGTGCCTGAGCACGGCCCCAGACTGCAGGTCCTGCCTACTTCACCAGGGCCATGGGAACTACAGGTTTGCTCTTCCTTTCCTCCCCACCCGACCCCAAGTTCTCAGCATTCCAGCTTCCCCTGTGGGTTTGGCGGGATGCCAACCAGGGCATCCTGGAGTCTGGGGAAGAGAGAGGCATTTCTGCAAATTGGTGGGGTGCAAATCTGCCAAGGTTCTGCTGGCATAAGGGCTGCTTACAGATGAAACACAGACTTTCGTCGCAAGAGGCGTCCTTCCAGGACCGCAGTGGGGCACCTTGATGCTGACACACTGCTCACTCTTCCCCATGTTGTGCTCATCTGGAATCCAGAACCTACCCAGCAGAAAAGCACAGAAATACCGAAGTATAAGGCAGAAAAGCTAAGAGCTTCTTTCTAACAAAGACACATGCCCCTTCTTGCTGGCTTAGGGCCTAGCTAATGGCATGGCCCATTTTTTACACCTGAGTCTAAGAGGGAAGGCATTGCTAAGACCTCAACCTTACAAACCTCCACCCTGACCCCAGTCAAGGTCCAGCCAGACCACTGCTCTCCAGCCCTCACCAACACCTAGACTGAAGATAGGCTCCCTGAGCATACACCTCTTCCCCACCACCTGCAAGCACCTGTTCCACTGGGGGAAGTCAGGCTGGGACGGAGGGCTCTGCTGACTCACCTCACACTCCAGATGTCGTTGAAGAGAGTGCCATCTTCCCAGTTCCAGGACCCCTTGCTTTCTGCTACAAGTCTGCCCACCATCTTGTATAGAAACTTCTGGAAGGGAGACACCACCCAGAGTTAGCAGGCCTGTGTCTAGGTGTCCTTCAGCTGTCCCCAGAGGCATTGCAAACACTGGTCTTTCTCAAGCTACTTCCAGCCCTTAACCACAGCCCCCAGCCCCAAGCCCGTCTTCCAAGTTCTGATTTGTCCTTGCCTGGTCAGGGCTGCAACTTTCCTGCGCCTCAGCAAGCAGGTGCCAGGGAACTAGGTGAATCGGCTACACTACAGAGCAGTGACCCCTAGGGGACAGTCTGGAGAATGGAGAATGACAGTCTTAGCCAGACCCCATGCTGAGTCCCTTGTACCCTCTCCTCTTTTTTTTTTTTTTTTTTAAGATTTATTTATTTTTATTGGAAAGTCAGATACACAGAGAGGAGGAAAGACAGAGAGGAAGATCTTCCGTTTGCTGAATCACTCCCCAAGCAGCTGCAAAGACCAGAGCTGAGATGAACCAAAGCCAGAAGCCTTTTCTGGCTCTCCCACACAGGAGTAACTTTGGGTTGTCCTCGACTGCTCTCCCAGGCTACAGGCAGGGAGCTGGATGGGAAGTGAGGCCACAGAGATTAGAACTGGCACCCATGTAGGATCCCAGCATGTGCAAGGTAAGGTCTTTAGCCAGTAGGCCACCACGTCAGGCCCTCTTTCTTTCTTCTCTCCAACAGGTACCCTGCCTAAGCAGGAATGGTCTGTTAAAAGGCTAAGGCCCAGTGACGTTCAGTGAGTCTCCCAAGATTCTAGGACGATTCAGAAGGCAGGCTGGGGCTCTAGAGTCTCCTTTGGAGCCCAGGCTCCAACCTGCTCCACTTCCCCAGCTCCCTTTTGGGTGGAAAATGGCTCATTTCTGCTGCTGACAGAATCTTTCTGTGCACCTGGGGTGTCCTCATCCAGCTGTGAATAGGAACCCAGGGGCTGTGCGTCCTGCCAGGCAAAGGCGTGTAGCATGAGCACACGACTTGCCTTGAACACTTCCCCTGTCCCAGCAACCACAGGAACATGTGACAACCAAGTCCCTTGCCTCCTAGGTCCTTGAATAGCCACAGTGGGAGAATCTGCCCCACCCAGCTCCGGAAGCCCTTGTTACACACAAGTGGCACACATGAGAAATAATTCTTCCTTCTGTTGTTAGGTTATTTCTGTTTGCGGACTTCCGGTGCCACAGCATAATCTTGCTCATCCTGAGACAGCTGGGGACACCTTCCCTTCCCACCTGCTCGTTCTCAGACGTCACAGAGGTCAAGTGTGAATCCCTGGATATTCAGAACTGCCAGGCACTGTACTAGGCCTTTGTGAGTGTGGGAAAAGTAGTAGAAATTCCCCTTGTAGTACTTTCAACCCTGAGAATTCATCTGCAGAGCAAGGGGCTGGGCTGAGCACTGGGCTTCCTATGTTCTTGGGGGGACTGGCTAGCAGGGTGCTTGAGTGAGCAACAAATGAGGCTGGGCTCTGGAGTCTGGGGCTCCCAGAAATCTGGGGACACTATCTTGAACCCTCAAAGTCTGCCTAGGACATAGCCTCTGGCACTGAAGAGGAGAGGGTAAGAGAAATTGGAGCACAGTCTGTGCCCTGAAGGAGAAGCAATTCCTTGGCCACAGCAGTGGCACAGGCCCTGGTTCTCAGGTCAGGGGCAGAATGGGAAAGGAAGAGTCCGGGCCAGGACAGACCAGAACCTCTAATACACCTGGCTATGGGAACCCATGGTGGACTCTGGCCCCTCCCCCAGCAGTTCCCCTCCATGCCTGGTGCTAATCCCGCTCTTCTTAACTTTCCAGTCCCTGCCTGCTGAACTCCTCCTGCTCCCACCTCCCCAGCCCAGTGGGCACATGGCTGAACCAGGGAAGGTCCCGTGAAGCCCCTGTCACCTTGCAGGGCTGCTTCCTGAGTCACTTACCATGTCGCTTGAGCAACCTGACCATGTTCTCCAAATCGCTCTGCAGAGGATTGTGGCATTTAAAGCACTGACTATATCCAAATCCCCTTCCAACTCTAGGATTTGGTTGTTTTACTCGTGGACTTCTTCCCAATTTGGTGTCAAGGCATGGATCTCTGTGCTGGCCCTCTCCATACTGGTGTTCAGCATCAGGATCTAAGAATATACTCAGCCCAGGCTGGCATTCACCACGTGAGCCCTGATGCCAGCCGCCGATGCTGTGCTGCTGCACTTGAGAGCCTAGCGAGGTGATGTTCACACGGCCTTGCAGCAGCTGGGCATCGGTCTTCACATCTGAGATTCTGTCCACAATCCAGGGGTCTGGGGTTGAGAAAGCCAGGAGGTGGGCTGAGGCAGCATACAAGTGGGTGATCAAAGGAAGGGAAAGGGCAGGTTCAAGATTCCCTAGGTGCCAAGACAGCCTGAGGACCTGCCACCCACCCTCCAGTTGTGAATGTAAGGCATGGCCACTTGCCACCTGTCACAAGATCTAGTGGAGGCAGACAATATGGAAGTTGATAAAACACAAGCTTTGGAGTTGGTGTCATAGCATAATAGGCTAATCCTCTGCCTGCAGAGCCACCAACCCTTATGAGTACCGGTTCTAGTCCTGACTGCTCTACTTCTGATCCAGCTCTCTGCTTACAACCTGAGAAAGAAGTAGCAGAGGATGGCTCAAGTCCTTGGACTCCTGCACTCACAGAGGAGACCCCAGAAAAAGCTCCTGGATCATGGCTTCAGGTCAGTGCAGCTCTGACCATTGTGGCTATTTGGGGAGTGAATCAGCAAATGGAGGATCTCTCTCTCTCATTCTCTCTCTCACTCTCTCTTTCTCTCTGCCTTTAAAATAAATAAATCTTTTTTTAAAATTAAAAAAAAAAACCACAGGCTCTCTATGAGACGGCCCCACAGACAAGCAGAAGCAGGGAACTGGACTTAGTCACTTTTCTTTTACATACTGATCAACATATTTTTACTTTATTTGAAAGGAAGAGAGAGAGAGAGAGAGAGAGAGAGAGAGAGAGAGAGAGAGAGAAGAGACTTTCACCTACTGGTTCATTCCCCAAATGTCTACAAGGAGCCTGGGATTGAGTTGGGTCTCCTGCATAACACAGACCCAAGCATTTGACCATCACTCATTGCTCCCAAAATGGCAAGAAGCTGGAATCAGCAGCAGAGGAGCCAGGGCTGGGACCCAGGCATGCTGTTATGGGGTGAGGCATCCCAAATGCCACCACCACTTGAATTTCCTTTGGGTATTCAGGGCACATTTGGTACAGGGATACCCTCAATCAACCCCTTCCCCCGACTGCCCCATTAGTCCCTCTACATTCCCACACATATACTTGATCCCCCTTCTTTCTGGAGACCCCAGCAGTGGTTATCTACTGAGGAAGCACCACACTTCCCACAGCCTCCCTCCCCCCGCTCACTCCAGCCCACCAACAGCCACAGGATGAGATGGCCACAAAGACTCCTAGCCTGGATGTGACTTCTCTAGTGAGCATGGCAAGGGAGGTGGTGAAATCTTTCATCATTTCCTCTGACCCTGTCCCATCCACCCACCTCCTTTCCTTCTGCTTGGGTTATAGGCCTGGGTGCCATGGACGGGACCAGACACAGGCCATACAAGCTGCAAGGAGAATCCCATGGGAAAGGCCATGTGAGAGAGCAGGGCCCTGGCATGGGGTGGGGGTACTGTTCTCCAATGTTCCACGAGGCCTCAAGAGGAGGAAGCTCTGCTCTCTGGAGGCCTGGGAATGAGAGGAAGGCCCTGCCAGCAGCAGAGGTCACTAAACTCAGCAGAGCCTCGTGTCGCCCAAGCAAGGTGTCTGCTTCTTGCTGCAGCTGTCATGGGGACTAGAGAACATAGAAGGTATAAAGGGTCCTAGTGAGGTAGTCAGTCCACTGGAGCGGAGGACACACCTGGGACTCAGTCCCTCCCAGAGTTTAAAAATGACACTCACTGTCTGTTCCTACAAGGCTCTGAATCCCAGGGTCATGGAGTTCAGGATAGTGAAGACTAGGGGGAGCAAGGAGCCTGGGGACAGCAGAAGGCATCTCTGCACCTAAGCATACACACCCTGACCCCAGCCAGAAAGAAGTAGGACAGAGTGTACCTGCTGCTGCATGAGGAAGGAAGAGGAAGGGGGTAAAAGGCCATAGCACAAACCCACAGGGAGCCTGATGGTCCTGGAGAAGGACACAGCACCCAGTGACACCAGGAGATTTACAGAGAATGTCCTGCAGCACCACAGAGATGGCCAGGACCAGTGCCAGGCAGACTGACATCACATAAAGCGAGAGAAGCTTCCTGAGCAGCAGAGACGCCATTGACTTGGGAGGAAGCTCTGTTGGGAGAAGCAGCAGATGTTTGCTGAAGGAACAGGGAAGGACAGGTGTGATCCAGCAGGCTCCCAGCAGGGGCAGGCACTCGCCTCAGGGTCAGAGGGAGATGTTCTGATTGTCCACGGTGAAGTGCGTGTCCACAGTCTCCCCGTCTGCAGCCTCCAACCTGCATGCTGGCCCTGGCTGCACAGGTGTTTTGGGTGCCCATCTCCCCAACAATTTCTTATCTGGAGGAAATGGGAAGTGAGTCCTAGAGTAAAGCCCCCTGTGCTAATGCAGTTCCCCATTCCTGGCTGATATTGGTCTGGTCTAGGCCACACTTGGCCCCTTTCTCAAAGGTCTGGTCATTCAGAAAGGGGTCCGTCGTCTCCCTCTAGAGGCGCCTGAGATATGGACACTTCCCCCCGCCCCACTCATTCCAAGGCTATCCCACTTCTCTTGCAAGATGCTCCTCTCCCATAAACACATGCTGAGTCCTTCGAACCAGGTTCCAGACACTACTGGGCACAAAGCCACAAAGAGGAATAGGCCACAATCCAGCACTTAAGCAGCTCAGTCTGATGGGAGAAACAGATGGGAGCAGATGAAGATGGCTCTGGGTGCATACACAGAGTTCAGAGAAAGAACGGAGCACAGGGTAACAGAAAAGCTGCAGGTGCATGGGGAGCACACTCCCCTGTATTGGGCATAAAACAGCATGGAATGTTTGGCACACTGAAGGGTGCTGGTGTTTGCTGGAACAGCAAGTACATGGCAGGAGGAGGGCACCCGGGCTCCATTCATGAAGGTTCCTTGGGTCACATAAAGGAATAAGACTTCTGGCTTATGAGTGACATGAGACCAAGGAAGGACCTCAGGCAGGACAGAGACACAAAGACAGCAAAGAAGGGCCCTGCACCCACTTGGGAGATCCAAAAGAAGCTCTTGGCTCCTGGCTTTGGCCTGACTCAGCCCCAGGCCATTGTGGAGGATATGGTGAGAGCTGATCTCTCACGCAGAGTGTGTAATATAAAACATGATCTTTCATAGGTAATAACTTGCATAAAAGACATTGGCCTACATTCAGAACTCTACTAACAACATCTGCTGGTAGGGTTGTGGGGGAAAAGGTATACTCTTTCACTATTGGCTAGTACAACCACTATGAAAGTCAGTATGGAGAGTGCCAACAGAACTGAAAATAAACCTGCTGTATGACCCAGCTATCTCACTTCTGGGAATATATCCAAAGGAAAAGAATCTACATATGAGAAAGTGTCCTGTACTCCTACATTTATAGCAATACAATCTACAGTAGCAAAGACATGGAAACAACCCAGACACCTGTTAAAAGAGGAGTGGTATATCTACTCTGTGGAATACTATTCAGCCATTCAGCCATTAAAAATGAAATTCTACCATTTGCAACCAAATGGTCCCAACTAGGATCCATTATGCTCAGTGAAATAAATCAATCCCAAAAGGACAAATATCATATGTTCTCTAAGATATAAGGGAAACTTCCTGTAAAATACAAGATCAATAGATATATAAGTAAGCAAGCATGTATGTATATATATACATACATATGCAAACACACACACACGTATTTATCTAGAGGATCTGTAAATTGTAGACAAGCATACCATGATGTACAGACACTTTGCAGTATGCATCTCAACTTCTGAATAAAAGATGGACTCCCAATGAAACTATTAAATATATCTTGAAAATAGAATGCTGAGAGGGGTGGGAGTTTGGGGGGAAATCCCAATCTATATGAAATTGTACCACATAATTCAAAAATTCAAAAAAATTTTAAGGGCCTGGCGGCGTGGCCTAGCGGCTCAAGTCCTCACCTTGAACACGCCGGGATCCCATGTGGGCACCAGTTCTAATCCCGGCTGCTCCACTTCCCATCCAGCTCCCTGCTTGTGGCCTGGGAAAGCAACTGAGGACGGCCCAAAGCTTTGGGGCCCTGCACCTGTGTGGGAGACCTGGAAGAAACTCCAGGCTCCTGGCTTCAGATTGGCTCAGTTCCAGCCATTGCAGCCGCTTGCGGAGTGAATCATTCGACAGAAGATCTTTCTTTCTGTCTCTCCTCCTCTTTGTATATCTGCCTTTCCAATAAAATAAATAAATCCTTATTTTAAAAAAAGCCCATAAACATACATGGATCCTCCATAGTAACTGGAATCAAGTTCCCAGTGTCCAGGGTAGGCAAAACCCAGTAAGTGTCCAGTTCTGTCTTAATGGTAATTTTTTGTGCTAAATATGCTATTCATTTAACTATACTCAAACTCACATAGAAGAATAGGACTTTCAAGGACAAAATCCCACAGTGATATATCCAATACCACATTCTGCTATTCTACAGACTAAAATAATTACACAACAAATCTTTATCACCTAAGGCAGTCCACGGTGAGATGACATCCCGTGGAAACTCGTGGCCACATGGCTGGAGTTGCTTGGTCTGAATGATGGTCAGATGAACATGCCCAGGCACATTTTCCAAGAGAGAACAATCTTGGCTCTGAAAGGGAACAGAAACAAGCTTTTCTGTGCACAAAAACAGAAACCTCCAGTCTCCACAGCCTGAACTGCTTTTTTAGGTTCAGTAGCGTGTGTGTGTGTGACAGAGAGAGAGAGAGAGAA